AGAGATGAGAGACCAGATCGCCCCCCTCCCGGGGGGTGAGTGGTGTCACAAGGGATCACGAGGGGGGCAAAGGAAAGGACGCGCGCGGTTCTCCAGGGAGACCCGGTTCACTGGGAAGCCCCGACCTCCGTGTTCCGTGGGAATGAATGGGAGTCGCGCAAGAGCGTTGCCCCGCGCTGAGGAGGCTCTCCATTCATTTCCAAGAGATTTTCTCCAAAGATCGTCAGGTGGATTGTGCAGAACCACCATTTAAAAAAAACCTATCGCAAGTCTTCTTCTTTTGCCACGGAGGCCTCAGTGATTATAAATAAAACAACACATTTAACTCCCCCCCCCGCACACTTTTTAAACCTGCTAAAATACTTATGGGGCTTCTTGTGCCCTTCGGCGAGGCCTGGGCAGGAGGAGAACTTCCCCACAGCTTGCGCCTTTCGCCCTGATCCGTCCTGCGTGAATCACGCGCGTATAGGAAATAAAGTCCACTTGATTCGGTTAGGCTTACTCCCAATAACGTGTGGGGTGCATTAGAGGTGCCATAGGTTTACGTGTAAGTAAGGACACTGGGGCTCACCCCACATTTAGCGTGCCAAAAGATTTCAGGGCCCTCATCTTTTCTGAGGGACATGAACCCGAAATAAAAAAAAAGACTTCAAGCTACAAGCATTTAGAGAACGCAGGATTAACGCAAGACAAGCGTAATCCAGCGAGTATAGATACTGGAGGAAATATATTCTGTTTACAATGCGTTTCCCGTACAGTATATATTAACTGTTCATCAGCTGCACATGCCGGTGTAGTCCGAGTCCGAGGAACGTCTGTTTTGTGACATTTCTTACGGGAAAGGAATAGGGGTCTAATTGGTGAGAATGTGACATTTAGGAGAAGTACGGGATCTAAAACATACTCGAGGAGTTTCTTGTGAACTGAGGCTCACATGCGCTCCCATTCCCGAGTAGCAGGATGAGTAACTTTTCACACGGGAACCTCTGGGCGTGTGGAACCTCCTTCCACTACTGGCCGACCTCGAGTCTAGCGTAGTTTATTCCGATGAGCGGCCGCCGTTCTCTCGCAGGAGCCTCGAGATGTTTCATAGCTGAACCTCCCGCAGCCCTTTAACAGGAAATATCAGGGACTATAATAGTTAGAGGGTTGGAATAAGACTAAACCTCACCGGGCCATTAATCTCACTGGGTGACCATGGGTCAGTCCCTATATCTGAGCCGTATCTACCTCACAGGACTGTTGTGAAGGACCACTCTGAGATACCTGGTCACTAACAAGGGAACAAACCATTTTAACCGTTTTTTTTTTCTCCTTGTGCAAACAGCGTTGGGCCAGTTGCAAGACAGACAGATTTTGCCATTAGCCTAATTCCAAACCTTGATCAAGTTTCGGGCTGTTGAACTCCCTCTGCATTTAATGAGGGCTGGATTGAGAAGAGATGTACAGAGGAATTCGGCTCCATTCTATGCACGTTTACATGGAAGATAATGGCACTGAATTCAGACTGGTGTCTTCCTAAATAATTCGGCATAGGATTGGAGGTTTAAGAGCGGCTGGCCTATATTGGGTCCGATGGCCTGAAATTCATTCTATATATTTAAAACTTGCTTCCAAATGGATACCATTAAGTCAGGAACGTGAGGCTGCAATCTTAGAGGCACAGTACCTAAGAAGTGGAACTTACTTCTGAGTAAGGCTTGAATAGATCAGCTCTGTAAAGGCCATCATGGCAGGTGTAGAAATGGAATCAGTACGGTTCATAGTTTTGACACAGAAATGCATCAA